CGCGACCTAAAGTGTGTTTTGGATTTTGGCCCCCTGTGCAATTGAGTTTGACACCCCTGGCTTAGAGCGTCTTCTAACATTCAGCTGGAATGTTCCTTCCTGTAATGTAAATCTACTCTATCCTGCCCTGCAATGAGAGAGGACCTCAGGTACATGATTTCTTTTGGGCGTTTGAAAAGAGCTATCATGCTCTTTTCAAGGCAAAATATTCCCAGTCCTTCCATCTCTTATTCCCAAACTTAATTTCAAGTCTCCTGATCTCTTTTCACTCTTTTATAAACCTGTTCCAGTTTCCTGAATGCTTCTTAAAGTGTAATACACCCGAAATGGATTTACCGTAGATGAGGTGAGTCCTTAGAGTGAAATGCTTCCAGTCATTTTGGAAGTTATATTTCTGTTGATGCAGCCTAAAATTGCATTTGTCTTTTTTTTCACAACCGCATCACATTTCAGTTTACCATCAACTAGTATATTTTTTCCCCAAGTACCATTAGGGAGCTGGGCATTCCCCACCTCTGCATTTGACATTTGTATGTTAAGCGAATAAATTTGCACTGTATTGAATTTCATTCTGTGGGATTTTCAGCCCATTTCTCTAGCCAATCATGATCATTCTGAATTATATTTTTTCTAGAGTATTAGCTCTTCCCATTTTTTATAATCTACCTATTTCGTTAAGTATCTTCCCTGCATCTTTGTTCAAGCCATTAATAAAAACACTGAAGAGTTGGGAACACTTGTGGCACCCTGCTGGATGCCCGTCTTCAGTGGGATGAGGATCCATTGCTTGGAAGCTGTCCAGCCCACACAACTCGACTTTGCAGGAGAACTGGGTTGGTCTCTGTGGCCAAAAAATCAGAAGTCCAGTAGCACCTTTTCCGACTAACAGATTTTATGAAAAGGCAAAAGCTTTTGTGAGCTTCATCTGATGAAGGCTGCAACTCATGTTTTTTAATAAAATGAGTCAGAAAAGGTGCTACCAGATTCCTGATTTTAGTCCAAGCCAGTTGATTAGAATGCTGGGAATGTCTGTCACTTGCATTGCGGAAACACAGAATGTTAGAATGAAAGGATTGGAAGGGACCTTGGAGATCGCCTAGTCCAACCTCCTGTCCAGACGGCCTTTCTTTCAACATCTCCAGCAAAGGATAGTTGAGCCCCTCCCTGGCCTCTGCCCCACTGGTGTTTCTTTTCCCCAAAAACTCCCATGGCTCTTCCCTGCCTTCTTGTGAGGTGGCTGCTCCTGCACCCCTTGTCTGTGGTGGCCAGGCTCCCACTTGGGCATTTTGTTAAAGTAGCCTGTAAAAAATTAAATAAAACGAACTGTTAGATACTGCAAGGATGTGAAAGATACAGGCCAAGATGCCTCCTCCGCATAAACTGAAGAGCCCTCAATGCCTCCAGTAATAAAAAGGTACAAGGACCAACAGAAAGGCGGATTTCCAAATTCCAGGTAATATTCACAGCTCGGTTAAAGTCTACAAAATGCGCAGGTTTTCGGGATCCGTCCGTTTTTAACGCTAACGAGTCCTTGGTCCAAAATGAACAGATACATACTCCTGCACAGAGCGGCATATAAGAGACATTGGAAAATGTTTCTTTAAATGCCCGGGAGCGCTTTATGTCACGAGAAGGAGCTCCGCGCTCGCTGGGGAGATTTTCCGGCAGAGC